ACAGGATTATAAGGACTTTCTAGTCAAACAGAGAAGAGAGAATATCACACAAATAACTTACCAATTAAAGAAAGTATATATAAAGTAACACTTTTTGTGTGGTACTAGGGAACTAAACCCAAGGCCCTTGCACTGAGCTATATACACAGCCCTTCTTATATTTTATTAAAAAAAAAATCTTTGGAAAGACAGGGTCTCAGCTGGGTGTGGTGGCGCAGGCCTATAATTCCAGCACTTGCAAGGCTGAGTGCAGGAGACTCGCTGAGAGTTGGGAGGCTGAGGCAGGAGAATTGTTGAGAGTTTGAGGCCAGGCTGGGCTACAAAGTGAGCTCAAGGTCAGCCTGAACTGCATAGCGAGACTCTGTCTCAAAAAGACAAAAAAAAAAAAAAAAAAAAGACAGGGTCTCTCACAGCGGCTGGTGGAGCACGCCTGTAATCCCAGTGCTCGGGAGGCTGAGGCAGGAGGATCACCATGAGTTGGAGGCCAGCCTGGGTTAGTGAGTTCAAGGACAACCTGAACTATAGCGAGACCCTGTCTTTCTTGCATTGTCCTTCAGAGTGCTGGGATTACAGGACTGTACCACCAGCCCTTGCGGCAGACCCTGTCTTTAAAAAGATTTTTTTACCACATGCCCGCTTCTGGCCTGGAAAACCTGGGAAGGCTCTGGGGAAGCGGGGTGTGGGCAGCTTTGGCCACAGAGGTGCGGGTCTGAGCACCACTATCCGTGTGGGAGCCGGGCTGGTTGGAAGGGGAAACCTGGCTGGGGAGGATGCACAAGACTTCCGGTGCCCCCCCTTCCTCCTGCTTCCCTTCCACCCGCCCGGCCCTTCTCCCGCCCAAGCCCGGCGGAGGCGGGTCCCCGAAGAGCTCCTCTCTTTGGCAGTCAGCCGGTGCTGGGGTTGATCCCTGGGCCTTGAGCTTCCTGCAAACAGCCTCGGAATCAGTGGCCTGGCCGCCTCCCCGCTGCCTTGCTTCATACCTGAATAGCAGGCGTTTGTTTTTGGAGAGAGTCTTGCTACGGAGTCCAGGTTGGGCCCGCAGGTGCGAGCCCCGAGAAGGCTCAAGGGGAGCAATCCGAAGGCCAGAGCCGGATCCTTTGCCTGCATGTCCACACGCGCATGCGCACACTCGAAGGCTACACGGAGCCCGGCACGCAGCCTGCCCCTCATTACCCTCCTAACCTGTGCTGCTCCTGCCTGCGGGTTCCCCGCACGGCGCCCCAGGGCAGGGGCTCCACCTCCCTCAGCCTGCAGTCTGGCCCTGCCCTGCCTCTCCTCCTGTGACCCTGGGGTGGCCAACTCCAGCTCCTTTCCTCACCTGCACGTGGAGAAGAGCAGCGCAGGAGGGCACAGGACGGCCCGTGACTCTCACTGCTTGAGGCAGGAGCATCTCGGGTTTGAGCCCACCCCGGGCAGCCTCTGTCTCAAAAAGCAAAAGAGGTAGGGGTGGTAGTGCATGCCTGTCGTCCCAGCACTCAGGAGGCTGAGGCAGGAGGATCACTGCGAGTTCCAGACCAGCCTGAGCTACATAGTAAGTTCAGTGTCAGCCTGAACTGCACAGTGAGACCCTGTCCAAAAATAAAACAAAAATCCTAGGGCTATAGTTCAGTGCCAAGGCTGGGGTCAAGCCGCAGTCTTGCAAAATAAACACTAATGATTGTCCTCGTCCCTGGGAGCTGTCACCCTCAGAGGGGTCCCAGAACCGGCTTGGGCGCCCGCTTTCCTTTTAATTTAGCTGGTGCCTCCTCCCACAGCCTCCCGTGTGCTGCCACCACCTCCCAGTCATCGCGGTCGTCGGCTTGCGTTCCTCCCTCCCGGCTTCGGCTGACTCACGGCTCTGGGCCCCCACACCATCAGTCAATGAAGATAAATTACAAAATCATTTGTTGTATTTGTTCTTGTTACCTTGAGGGCTGACTGAAATCGCCCTGCTTCTGGCAGCCACATCTGCATATCGCTATGCTGGAGTCAAAGGCGGCAGATGGGGTTTCACTGCAATTTAAATATTAATAAACCTCCTAACCCGCTAGCTGGGTTTTTCCTAGGCAGCCGGCCCCCTGCTCCTAGGTTGCTAATATATTTAATCTTTGTCCTTTGCTTTGTGTTTGCTTAAAGGGCCACTAGGAGAGAACAGAAGCAGCCGCTGCAGCCTTGGAGATAAGAACCCTGAACCACTTCCAGGCAGCCGGCTCGCTCCTGCACGCCGGGGTCACCCTCAGCAGCCCCTCACACTCAGCGCTCCGCGCCGGGTCTCGAGCCTGCAGCAGCATCCAGAGCTTCATCTCAGTTCTGGATGCGGCCCTGGCCCGTGGAGCCCACCCAGAGGCCTCCATCCAGGCTGTTTTGAGAACCACTGCACTAAACTGGCAATGTGGTCTTTTTTTTTTTTTTTCTTTGGTTTTTTCCTCCCCCCAACCCTCCCGCCGGTACTGGGAATCGAACTCACGACCTTGCGCTTGCCAGGCAGGCGCTATGTGGCTGAGCTAAATCCCCAGCCCCCCCGGCAATGAGGTCTTCAAAGTTCCCATTCCAAAGCCAGGCATGGTGACACGCACTTGTAACCCCAGCACATGGGAGGCTGAAGCAGGAGGGTCTTCAGTTTGAGGCCAGCCTGGGCTACAAAGCAAGACCCTCTCACAAAAAAAACAAAAACAAGAACCCAGAAATTCAAGGCTCTCACTCCCCAGCTGCCATGTCCGGGTCTCTCCAACAATTCCTTCCAGCACCGCCCAACCAGTGCTTAGGTTTTCCTGACCCTTGGGAAATTCAGGATCAGCCCTATCTACACCTCTGTAGTCCTGGAAGGAGCCGACTGCTTCCAACTCTTAATTTTCTTGCCTTTTTTTTTGTCTTTTTGAGGCTGGGTCTTGCTATGCAGTTCAGGCTGGCCTTGAGCTCACTTTTTAGCTCAGGCTGGTCTCGAACTCACGATGATCCTCCTGCCTCAGCCTCCCAAGTGCTGAGATTACAGGTGTGCGCCACCACACCCAGCAACCTCCTTAATTTTCTATTTGCTCAGAGCCCAGATTCATTTCTTTCATTTTTTCCTTGTTCTGGGCAGATTTATGGGCTGTTTGCAGGAGCTGAGCACTCCAAGTACAGGGATGGCCTTGGGCCCCGAGTGTCAGCACCCTGTGGGCCCGTGCTCCTGGGTGGTAGGCCCTTTCCCAGTCCTGCGCCCTGCCCCTCCCCACTTCTGCCTTTATCTTCTCTGTGCTGCCTTCAGGGCTCATCCTGGGCCAGCCCCTCCAGCGGCAGACTCCTCAGCACCATGCCTCCCTCCCTCCGGTTTCCCAGGCGTCCTGGATCCTCAGTGGAGGCCGCTGTTCCAAGTGTTGGAGGAGATAACGCGCAGCTCTTCCCGGCCCTCCCCGAGGCTCTCCTGCTCCAGCCCTTCCTCACACAGCTCACTGGGAAATGAGATCTAAGGCCTCTCAGGTCTGGTGCTGGCCCGAGGCTGAGTCTCAGCTGCAGATGGGTGGGAAGGTGCGGTGACATCCCCAAGTCGGTGGCCAGAGGGGCAATGGAGCAGCTCGGCAGAGGGGACCCAAGGACAGGCACCTCCTAGAAGTGAGTCAGAAGGCGTCCATGGCTGGAAGACTTGAGGGAGTCACACAGGTCTTTCTGTCCTCCCGCAGGGCTGGTGACGGGGGCCAGGGCATGACAAGACAGTTCTCTACTGCAGCAGTTTTCACTTTCCATCTTGAGACAAGCTTCCCTAAGTTGTCTATGCTGGACCCTCCTGCTTCAGCCTCCTGAGAACCTGTAATTACAGGAATACCCTGCCACACCTATCTACGGAAAATTTTTGTTATTTTTTAAACATCCTTTTTCTGGGCGGTACTGAGGCTTTGCACTGAATTACATCCACAGCCTTTTTTGAGACTAGGTCTTGGTATGTCGCCTAGGCCTCCTGTCTTGGCCTCCACAGTGCTGGGATCCCAGGCATGTGTCACCATGCCTGGTTTAGCTGTGGAGCTCGGGCAAAACCTGTACCAATGAGGAACTTGAGGGTCAGGACTCATTTTTAAATGGGGCAATGAAAGCCACTTCCTAGGGCTGGGGAGAAGATGGTAAAACAAAGCCCGTGGGCTTTGCCCCCAAACCTCCCCAAGCCAGCAGTGCCAGGTGTGGAGCAGAGGGCTCTGCTTCCGTGCGGGGCGGGCCAGGCCCAAGTGAGCCAGGGACACAGAGGGTCCGGAGATCCTCTTAGTCACCAGGCCCAACACTAATCCAGATGTGGCTGCAACCTGGGTGTGGCGGGGTATGTCTGTAACCCCAGCACTCGGAAGGCTGAGGCAGGAGGATCCTTGTAAGCTCGAGACCAGCCTGGGCTACAAAGTGAGCTCAAGGTCAGCCTGAACTGCATGGTGAGACCCTGTCTCAAAAAAGAACAAAAAACATATGGCTGGAGGGTTGGTGGCCGTACACGTGTGCTGACCGAGGCCGCTGAGCCATGCCCAGTGGCTGAGACCTCCGTGCCCAGAGTGAGGTCACAAATAGAGGCTGCTGTAAGCCACAGGTGACCATCTGTTAACAAAGAAATAGAAAACGTAACAGGTGGTTAAGCTGCCTCTGTTACTCTAAGGCAGATAGGATCCACATCCCCATTTTATGGATGAGGGCAAAAAAAATTTTTTTTTTTTTCTGGTACCAGGAATCAAACTCCCGACCTTGTGCTTGCCAGGCAGGCGCTGTGCCGCTGAGCTAAATCCCCAGCCCCAAAGGCAAAAAATTTTTTAAAGGAGGGTCTGGGGTGTAGCTCAGAGGGAGGCCTGGTTTTGTCCCAGTGCCACAAAAAGAGAAAAAAAAAAAACAACCAACCTGAGAAAGCCTGTAGGCCAAGTCTCCAGAAGTCATTCTTAGTGAGGCGGGTGGCGCAGCCCTGTAATCCCAGCGTGTGGGAGGCTGAGGCGGGAGGACTGCCTGGAGTACAAAGCCAGAGGAAACTACACAGCAAGACCGTGCCCCAAAACACAAAACACAACAGTCATTCTTGGTGGAAGTGTTTGCTGCCACGTTTATTTGCAGTGTTAAAAGCATAATATTTACACACGTTTTACACAGTCAGGTCCAGGCTGTACACCAGGGCTAGGCAAGACCCAGTTCTTCCCACAGCCGGAATGCTTCCGGGTAAGGAGTTTATAAAAAATCTCTTTCTCTTCCTTCAGCAAAATTATTTATGAAGCTCTACTGCTCAGCAACAGGGAGCAAGGGGGAAGGAACTGCCTCAGAGAAAGTGCCAGCTCCCTCCGGGTGGGCCCGGCACCCGCACTGGCACCATGAAACACCTGCGTGAGAGCCAAGGCTTTCGGAGGGCTGGTCAGAGGGCTCTCCCTGGACCCTGGTGCGACTCACGAGGCCCCTCTAATTAACTGAGCCAAGCTCAGCTCCGTTCGCGCCTCCCCCACTGCTTCCGCCCACACCGCGAGCTGCCCAGGGACGGCCCCTATCGCAGGTCCCGGCAGGTCCCCAGCCCCTCCCACGTGCCCCCAGGTCTGGACGAACCCGGGTCCCTGCTGCTCCGCCTCAGCCGGGGACAAGCGAGGAGTCAGCCTCTTGCTCACTTGTGGGGTCAAGCGGTTCTGAATGCCTTCCAGGTGAGAAGGGACCACATTCTGCAGGGACTTCACAGGGACCTTTGAAGCAGGCAATCTTTTTTTTTTTTTTTTTTTGGTTTTTCTCCGGTACTGGGAACCGAACTCACAACCTTGCGCTTGCCAGGCAGGCGCTTTGCCGCTGAGCTAAATCCCCAGCCCCTGAAGCAGGCAATCTTTTAGGGAGCCCCGCGTAGCGGGAAGCTCTGCAGGCCGCTGTGCAGACGACTGGAACCAGGGCTGGAGCGGGCGGGGCTCCCCGGCCTGCAGAGCCCGCTCTTGCCCGCCTCCTCGGGGGCTGAGCCAGCGCCTTCGCTCTGACCCGCAGCCCCAGCCCCTCTTCGCAGTTTGGGACCGCACGCACCAAGTTGCCTGGTGGACCAGCGCTTGCAATGCTCCTGCCTCAAGCCTCCCAGGGTTCTGGGGCGACAGGCCTACGGCAGGGACACTGCACCCGGACAAGGCCACTTCTGAAGCACATCCTCTGGGTCCTGTGGCCCCAGAGCCGAGGGCGGCCGGAGGCAGCAGGGTCCGTGGGGGCCCCACGGGACAAGGTAGGCGTCCAGCTCCTGGCGCTGGTGGAGGGCCACGCTGTCCAGCACCCACTCTCTGGTCACCACTGGCACCTGGCGCAGCTGTTCTAGGGCTGGGGACACACACAGGCATGTCAGTGCCAACACGGGCCCCTCTGGGGCTCGGCTGTGCAAGTCCTGCGGGTTAACCTGGGGGAGCCCCAGCGTTACCCCGGGAAGCTGAGGGCAATGCCTGGTGAGGGCCCAGCCCCGGGCAGCAGGGTTGGCATGGCTTCATCTCGGCTGACCGAGAAGCCACCGCCAAGAGCCAAAGGGCATCACAGTGCCAGGATGTGGAAAACGTCCTCAGGAAAAAAACAGCAGCACGCTGAACACAGGACACACACGCAGGGAAGAGTTTGACGGGGATCATCTGCACACCAGCAGGGTTATGGTGACCATTACACACTTTTTTTTTGTTTTTTTCAATTTTGTTTTTTTTCAATTCCGGTACCAGGAATTGAACTCATGATGTCGTGCTTGCCAGGCAGGCGCTGTGCTGCTGAGCTAAATCCCCAGCCCCGTGGTGACTATTATTATTATTACTTTTTGCTTTTTTAGGGTCTCACAATCTCCCTGCGTCAGCCTCCTGAATGGATGAGATTACATGCACAAGTCACTATGCCCGGCCTACTGAGATCTGTTTCATGGTTTTGGGCTAGACTGTATTTTCTGTGGTGAACATTTATATTTAACCCCCCACCAGCTGCACTGTTGCACACCTACAGCCTCAGCTGCTCAGAAGGCTGAGCCAGGAACATCTGCATTCAGGAGTTCGAGGCCCGCTTAGGCAATGTGATGAGACACCATCTCAGACCAAACCCCAAAACTAGCTGGGCATGGTAGTACACAAAACCCAAACCTAGCCTGGGAACCCACACCATCAGCTTGTTTCTGGGAACAACTGAGGAGCTCCCAGTTCTTTTTGTGATTTTGGAGTCAAGGTCTTGCTACATAGTTCAGGGTGCCGTTGAACTTGCAGCAATCCTCCTGCCTCAGCCTCCTGAAGGCTAGAATTACAGGCTTGTACCACCACGCACACCAGCACTTGGGAGACTGAGGCAGGAGGACTACTTGGAGATTTGTCTAGGATACAACAGTGAGTTCAAGGCCAGCATGAACTGCATAATGGGACCCTGCCTCAAAAAAAAGGCAGTGGGGGGTTGCCTGGGGATTTAGCTCAGCGGCACAGCGCCTGCCTGGCAAGCGCAAGGTTGTGAGTTCGATTCTTGGTACTGGAAAAAACCCAACCCCCCCCCAAGGGGGGGTGCAGAACCAAAACCAAGGCCACCCTAAGATGAGAAAAGGTTTATGAACGAGCTCCGTTCCAGAACTGTAAGTCGATCCATCTGCATCAAAGTGAGTTTTGTACACCCATGAAAATTTACAATTCAAATGCTTGTAAGTCAAGGACTTATTGTATTACACACACACACACACACACAATTTTTGAGACAGGATCTCACTATGCAGTTTAGGCTGGCCTTGAGCTCACTTTGTAGCCCAGGCTGGTCTTGAACTCAAAATGATCCTCCTGCCTCAGCCTCCTGAGTGCTAGGATTACAGGCATGCACCACCATGCCTGGCTGTATTACCTTTTTTTGAGGGGGGTGGTGGTCTTTTGAGACAGGGTCTTGCTATGCAGTTCAGGCTGGCCTTGAGCTGACTTTGCAGCCCAGGCTGGTCTTGAACTTCCAGAGATCCTCCTGCCTCAGCCTCCCAAGTGCTGGGATTACAGGCGAGTGCCACCATGCCCGGCTGTATTACTCTTATAATACAAAACAAAATCTGGGGCTGGGGATTTAGCTCAGTGGCACAGCGCCTGCCTGGCAAGTGCAAGGTCATGAGTTCGATTCCTGGTACCAGAAGAAAAACAACAACAACAACAAAAAAACAAAATTTCTTGAAAGGACATTCAGCCATTCACTTAATCAACAAACCCTGAAAATGTGATAGGCCACTGCTACTCGAGCCCTCCTGCTGCCCTTACCAAGGAAGCCGCTGTCCTCTGTCCAGGCGTCTGGCTGCACGACCACGATGGGGTGAGCTCCCTGCTGCTCCCGAAGGAAAGGGCATTGCAGTGTCAGGACTTTGGCAGTGGCCCCTGGGCCATGTGGGGATACCTCAGAGGAGGGCCCGGGGGCAAAGGCCCTGCTTGGAGGAATATCACACAGGGGGCCCTGGGCGCTCGCCCCCAGCTGGTGCAGAAGGGAGCGAGGAGTCTTCCCACCAGGGCCCCAACACTTACGGCGCCGAGGGGCAGCGAGGAGGGCTCCCTGACCACAGTTGCCCCGCACAGCCGCAGCATCCACTCGAGCTGATCTGAGGGCACAGCGGGGTCCTGTCACCCGGGCTGCACCCCTGGGACCCCTCCCCCCCAGCAGGTGTCCTGGTGACAGCGGCGTCTCCACCAGAGGCAAATGACGTGCCCCTCAGGGCCAGGGGCAGGTATGGTCTCACAGCCTTGCCAAGGGAAACTCCAAGACCCGATTCCCATTAATCTGCTAAACTCCTCGGTAAGACACACCCTCCCTGCATGACCACCCCCCGGGCACTGCCCAGGGCACAGCTACCACAAACCCACGAGACGAGGGTTATTCACCCAGCACCAGTGGAGAAAACCACAGCAGCCCGGTCAGGGCCTCGGCACGGCAATGGGCAAAGGCCACAGGCTGAGCAGGATCCTGCACCCGCAGAGGAAAATCAGGTCTGCAAGTGTGCCGCAGTGGTGCCCACTGTGAATCCCTGTGGGCGGCTGGGGGAGGAAGCTTGAGCCTAGCAAATTAGCGAGACCCTATCTCAGAGCTGCAGATGCAGCTCAGTGTGAGAGCCCTGGGTTCAATTCCCAGGACAGACAGAGAGAACGGGAAAGGAAGGAGGAAGGGTGAGAAGGCCTACAAAGCTGTCATCTTTGTGCTGGGAGTCTGTGCCGTCAGCTCACTTCTGGAGAAGCTGAGGTGCTCCCAGCTTTTTTTTCTTTCTTTTCTTTTGATTTTTCAGTCAGGGTTTTGCTACAAAGTTCAGGATGTTGTTGAACTCACAGCAATCCTCCTGCCTCAGCCTCCTGAAGGATGCAATTACGGGCGTGCACCACCATGCACAGCTCCTAGCTGACCAAGCTGAGGCTCACTAACACCTCCAAAAGGATGCCTTTGAGAGACCCGCATTCCCCCCCACACCAAAGCACAAAAACAGAGAAACCCTTGAGCAGCACTTGGAAATTTCACGGGCTGCACACTTTCAAGTCCCAAGCAATAACCAGTGAGGCAGGAAGCAGGGTTCCGCTACCGGGCTCCCTTGCTGCTCCTGCCTGCCTGTGTACACCTTCAGTGCCTAGGCTCCCCCTGGCAAGGACTGAGGCCCCGGGGTGGAAGGGGGTCACAGGCAAGCCCAAATCTACGCACACACAGGGCACTCGGGGTGCTGACCCAGGCTGGGCCCCACAGCAACCCCAACTGTAGCACCACACTCGCATCAGGGTGAATCAGAAATGCCCCAGAGCCCCCCCCTCCCCCCCCGCAGTGGAAGGCTGGGCAGCGCCCGGCACTTCTCCGACACACGGAAACCTGTCCTGCCCCTTCCTTAGTCTGGAGTGGACCACTGCAGCTCGGCTCCATCTGAGCGTACCTAACTCTTCGCCACACTTTCCTGTTTCGCCTGTGACCCCCCTGCCTCAGCCTCGCAGAGTGCCACGCTGACAGGGCTGCACACCATGCCGGGCCTGCCTGCTGCTCTTGAGAACGGCACAAGGCCTGCAGAAGACACCATCGTGCCATCTCGGCGGGAGGATGGAGAAACGGAAAAGCCCAGGACAGCACCCACCCCACGGCCCGTACCTGTGGGCATGTTGGTGAAGGGCCCAAAGCAGCAGACGTCCAGGCCACTGAAGATCTGGCAAGGAGAGACAGAGACAGGGGCAGAGAGACGCAGTTACGACAGGGAGACTCAGGAAAGACCGTTCCCTCCAACACCTGCCCCTGCCCTCACAGCCCGGCGTGCAAGACACCGACGGGCCTCAGCGTCTCCCTGACCGACCTGCATAGCAGCTTTTGTATCACTCAAGGGCCGAGCGTCTCATCCTGTCATCCGGCCGGCCCGGGACCCTCCTTGATGACCTTTACAGTGTTCTGGTCTTGTCAGAAACAAGAGGAGGAAGCTGGAGCCCTTCTCTGTTTCCTAACAGGTCAGGATGGCAGGGCCGACAGCCACCACCAGGGAGCGGCCTGACGTCGGGCGGACTCGCCCACCGCGTGCACCTGGCCTCCGTCCCCGACAGCCCTTCCTCTTCCCCTTTGCTGCTCTGGGGACGCCCCCTCGGCGTGCTGTGCAGTTTTGACTCTGGAAGTGGAGCCCCGTTCCTGAGGACACAAGCCCTGGGCACCCCCTCTCCTCGGGTGACCTCCGCCTCCTGGGTTGGCAGTGCTGCCCGGGTCTCCTGATGCCGGAGAGGCTCTGGATCTGCCAGGCAAGGAGCTGCGGCTGCGGGCACTGGGAACGTGGGGGACTGAGGAGCCCGGCTTCCTGTGTGACTGAGTCTACCCGGTGTCACTGGCGGCCAGGGGGCTACACAGCACAAAGGCTCACAGGCAGTCGGCGAGGGCCTGAGGACTTGGGACCGCTGGGGAGGAGCCAGGGCTGGGAGTACAGCAACGGCCAGCACGGACTCATTACGTAAAAGAAAAATCCTTGGTGCTATTAAAAATAAATAAATTTAAAAAAAGATGGACACCCCCTTCCCCCGCTAAAGTCAGGAGTCGCATGGTGCTGCCCAGGCTGGTCACCAACTTTTGGGCTCAAGGGAATTTCCAGCCTCAGCCTCCAAGTAGCTGGGACTACAGGCGTGCGCTGCCAAGCCCAGACAGACACATCTTCCTGCGGAGTCCTGGGCAGCCCTCGAGGCCCACACCCTCCCCACCTTCCCGCTCCACGGAAGAGGGAAGCGCCTGTGCCTGGCAGTGACCTGGCCTCCAAGAGACGGGAAGAGCACGTGGAAGCGCTGCAGCACATAGATGGCCAGACAGGAAGTAGTCCCCCGAGACACACACACACACACACACACACACACACACACACACACACACATCCTCTCCACAGCCAGGGATGAAGGAAGGCCAGCACGCCGTCTGCCTCCATTTTAAGGGAAGGTTCCCGTCAGCGTCCCTCCTGTCCCCAGCCAGCTGACGGGACCTGATGCTCCTGTGCTTTCTCCCGGCAGCCAGCTGGGCGTGAGCACGGCCATGAGAAGTCCCCGAGAGCAAGGAGGTGTTTACAGGCCACCCACCGCAGCTACGGAGCTGAGGCTGGCCCTCTACCCTGTGGTGACGTGTGCGGTCTTCAGAAGGTCATTCTCCTGGCCAGGCCCTTCCTGTCACTGCTAACCGGAAGGAAAAAGCCTGAGCACTGGCACTGCCTGTCGAGGTGTGGGTCCTGCCTTGGTCTGCTGAACCCAAATGGCTGCCCACGCTGAGCTGAGCCCACTGGGCGAAGGCAGCAGAGGAGGATGACCACTCTTCCTGCACCTCGAATGGTTACTGACAGGCTCAGAGGGAGGGTGGCTGACCCCAGGGTTTGGAACTCAGCTTTGATTTAAGACCATCTCCAAAGCAGCTTTCCTGGCCGGGTGCGGTAGCACACAGCTATGGACCCAGCACGCAGGAGGCTGAGGCAGGAGGATCACAGGGGTTTGAGGCCAGCCTGGACTACATAGTCAGACCCTGTCTCAGAAAACCAAACCAAAACCCCCAAAGTAAACAGGAGCGACAAACCAAAATAGTTTCCTTGGGAGCCACTTCTGCTGAGCTGCCGTGAAGGCCAGGAGGCACTCTGTGGGAGGGGGAGGGGGAGGCGTGTGCAAGAAGCAGACCAGCAGCCGAGCGTTCAGGGGCTCTGGCCGGACAGGCAGGCGTGGGCATCATGTGTGGCAAGGCCGGGTGGCTTCCCGGGGTGACTGCACAGCTGTTAGCACAGTCCAGCTGTGGCCTGAGGCTTCTGTGACCTCCTCAGACACCGGGGGCTGCACTGCACATTCAGCGTGGGGTAAGCCGCCTGGGCTCACCTCCCACTCTATTACTCACTGGCTGGGCACTGCACTCGCCCTCTCTGAACCTCAGTATGCTCGTATGGAAAACGGGGGACAACAAACCAGGCATGGTGGTGCCTTGGGTTCCAGCACTTGGGCGGAGGCAGGCGGTTTGCAGTTCAAGGCCAGTCTGAGTTCTACAATACCACATACTTCATCAATTTGTAAAATGGTTAAAAAATATTGTCGATCACTTAGAGCATTCATTGGCACACAGTAAACATTATACAGGTGTTAGCTGTGGGTTTGAACCCAGAGCTCTGTTCATGCTACCCCTGGGTATATCCTCAGCCTTTCTACTGTGTCTGAATTCCCGTCTTGTCAATTCACCCAAGGTGGCCTCAAGCTCGTGAGCCTCCTGGCTCGCCTGACGAGAAGCCAGGCATTGCAGGCGTGTGCCCAGCAGGCAGCGTTGATCACTCGTCACTTCCTGTTCTATGTGTCTCCACAGCTGTACACGCCTGGCTCACAGCTCTCACTGCCCTGTTGTCAGGAGAGGAGGAAGGCGTTGGGCGGCAGACTCACACCTGACCAAAGTCCCAGCTCTGCCACCTGGCAGCTCAGCTAAACCCCAGACTGGACCCCGAGTCACATGGCTCCTCAGCCCCCACGTCTCGGGACCGATACACACGCCGCTCACCTTCCTGTCCTCGGACTCCCTTGCACGCCTTGGACCTTGGTGGTTTCTTCCGTTGACCACATCTCCTCTGACTTCAAAACTGCGCTGGAAGAAACCCAGGCAAACCACCGCGGTCAGCAGAGGGCTTGTGACTGAGAACGAGCAAGTCGTGCAGGCAGGAGCTCCCTCCTTTTGGGGGTCTGGGGCAAGGGCCAGGACCCAGCTGCTGGGTCTCCGCTGTGCGGGAATCAACTGGCTCTTCACTTCCCTCAGACCCACGAAGCTGAATTTCCAACATCTGCCTCCTCTCCACTCACTTGCCCTGCACTGACGTGGCACTGCTGGCGCTGCGCTGTTCAGGACGTAACTGAGCCCCCCAATCTCCAAATCAGCGGTGCCTGCCCAGCTGAAGAAGGCTTTCAGATTTCAACCAGAGTTCAAAGTTAATTAAGTCAAAATGAGAAAAGATGCAGTTATTTCACCGAACAAATCAGCATCTGGGCTGGTGGAGGAAGAGAGAATGAAGACGAGAATGGGGAGTTTAGACCTTTGCAGAAAGCTCTGAAGCACATCTTACTGAAATTCACATGTTGCTAGTGCACTACGAAGAAAAAGGAAGTCAAGACCATGTCCACTGCTGTGACCAAGGGACAGGACACCATCTGTCTCCCACTAGTGCAGAGGGGAAGTCTAGTGACAAATCTGCCACCTGCCACAGAGGACTGATGTGTCCCTGGTCCTGTTAGCCTGGAGCTTCCAAAGGCGTCACCGGCCTGCTTCACCTCCTTGTCTGAGCGCCCAGGAGAAAGCCCAGCACCACATCCAGGACAGAGCTCCCGGTCCATGATGCCCCGATCCCCACTTAACAGCCCTGACCTCTGCTCTGCCTCGCAGGCGCAAGCCCAAGACGACCCAGCTTCCTCTGCCTGAGCCACCAGCAGGAAGGCCCCTCCACACAGAACCCTGCCAACCTTTCCTAACCATCACGGGCTCCCCATGACCCTAGGGACAAATCCTCACCCTGGCTTCTGACAAATCTTCCCTTATCTGTGACCTTCTCCCACCCCTGCACATAGTGCACCAATTCCCGCTCCTCAGCGGCACAGGGCTGGTTTTCTTTAATGAGCCAAGCTCACTCCTCGAGACCTTTATGCCTTCTGTTCTTCTACCTATGATCCCTTCTCCCTGGGGTGAAACCCAGTGCGTTCCTGTTGCATCCCCAACCCTTTCTATTTCTCTTTTTAAAAACTGGGTCTCGCTAAGTCATTAGGTTGACAGGGCCAGCCTCAAACTTGTGATCCTCCCGCCTCAGCCTCCCGTGCTGGGATGACTCACACCATGTTCTTCTCTACATTTTAAGGAAATTTTTTCTTGTTGTTGAGTTGAGGTCTCAGCAACCTTTCAAAGCCACCTTTCCTGGCCTGCCTGCCTGATGCAGCCCAGCCACCTCCCAGCCGGCAAGCCGGTTGATCTGTGCAGCCTTCGCTGGTACCGCATGCTTACCCTGGCTCGGCCTCCCCTTACAGGAACCTAAACCACACCAGAGCCGGCACCAGTCTGCTCACTGCTATGTTCCTAGGGCCTGGCATGTAGTGAGCGCTCAACACAGCCACTGAATCGAGGCTAAACAGAAGACTGGCCTTCAGTTAATTACGAACACCCTGAATAGTACACACAGCTTAAAGCTGCTTCCCCGGCGTTTATTTGGCCTGATCCATCATCACCCACAGCTCTTGGCTGTTCCAAATTACTCTCCTCCCACACTTTCTCTTATTCACCTCTCCGTTCTCAGTATCATGAAGAGCAACACCTCTGAAGGAACCCCATTTTTACACAGATGCATCTGCACATTAACGTGAGGTCCTTACCTGTGACAATGATGAGCAGCCTATTTTCCGGGTGCACGCTCGTTTGTGTCCCCATGAATCTGTGCTTTGGTGTATGATGCACCCCCCCATAGGACAGTTGCTTGGGAAGCCCAGGACAGACAGGGGCAGATGCCAGGGCAATCTGTGGAAAGCCCCACTTGGCAGGAGGGGCAGGGCCCGCTGGCTGGGACGCCAGGCCCCAAGGGTCTGACTGTGCGTCACTCCCAGTACCCACCTCGTCCAGCACCCTCCTCTCCTTCATTGACTGCGTCACCCCTAGAGAGATCACAGAACAAAGAGTCACGGCGGGGGTGAGGGTGTGCGTGGGCCTGCTCGGAGACGCGTCCAGCCGTGCACCAGAGACAAGGGTGGGTGCGCTCCGCCTCAGAAGCTGCTGAGCTGAGGCAGTGCCCAGCCACTTCCTCCCAGAGATGGAGACACAGCGGGGCCTGCAAACGATGCTGCCGCTGGCTCTCCGCCTGCTGATAAGAATGTCCCCATCCCCATGCGGCATTGTCAGGCGGATTAGGTTGTTAGTTATGAAAGAAACCCATTTCCCCCACCTCAACAGCTCATCACGATATGCATTAAAGATAAGGCTAGCTCTGTGTCACCCCTAAAGACCTGCGGGTAATTCAGACTCAGCATCAGCAAAAAGTTGAGGTGTGAAAGCGTTAGGTGTAGAGATGCAGTTCCGAGGTGCTGAAGGAAGGAGGGGAGAAATCATACGTGCACTTACAGAAATAGCTAACCACCCATTTTCCTCCTGCGATTCCCAGAAAGTACTTCAGTGTCCGTTCGCAGACCAAGTCAGCATCTGTGGAGTGAAAGACACTGAAAGATTAGAGAAAACCCAGTCAGAAAACACTGCTCCAGGAGGCCAAGGTGCCTCAGCGCCCCCTACGCTCAGCACCCATATGGACCGTGGCTGCGTGGCCCTGTCACCCGGGCCGCTGACCAGAGCCGGCGCTGCGGATCTTCAGTGCCCAGAAGGGGCCGAGGCCAAGGCAGGGCAGAGGGAACACCCACTCTGTCTTCTGGGGGCCGTGGGCAGCTGGAGTTCCAGCCTCTTGGTCGAAGTGTCAGCAAAGCTGCAGTGGGCACGGCTGAGGATGGGGACCCCTGCTCTGCCGGCCAGTAAGAGGTAACAGACACTATGCTAAACCCTGAGCCATCACTCTGACCCACCCTCCGGCCCCGCGTTCCTGCGCCTGGCGCTGCGTGCCCGGAGACTGCAGTCTCCTGCAGTCTTTCCTCAGCACGCTCTTTCCTGCACGAGGCTCCTTCCACGCGCAGAACCACTTCTGCTTATTTCCTAGTATTTCAAAGGCCCTCTGAAGAACCCAGCACCCTGCGAACACTCTTTGGTCTTACAGAGGAGGAACGTATTTACCGACACCCTGAACAGCAGGCTTTGTGCAAGCACACTGGCGGAGAGTCCGCCACAATATCCCTAACACTTTGTGAAGCTTTTTGTGTAACCGCTACAAAGCCCAATTCAATAATATGCTTTAAACTTAGAAATTTTAGCTCATTTTCAGTTCCAAAGTAGTGAATGCTATATTGCCTTCGAGTTTAAAGGCTGAACCACTTTGTGTTTAATTTGCACTTTAAAGCTTTCTTTTCACCTTTCATCAGCTTTGATTCAAACCTATAGCTTAACATATATTCAAATTCAATGACATTTGTCTCTGAGGTAACTGGTTTGTCATGTTCCCTTGCTCTGGTGCCTGGTTCCGAGAGTGTCACCCCGACCCTGCAGTCCCAACTGCACATGGTGGAGGCCTAGAGCTGAGGTCGCAGGCGGAGCTGGGCGCTCCAGCCCCACAGCGCTGACCAGAAACACACAGAACTACCCCGGAGCTGGCAGGGGCATGCCTGGAGAAGCACTGCCAGCGGCGACACAGCCTGTGAGGGTTGTTGCTTACCTGTCTTCATGACCACGTGGGTGGTCTCCTCAGTGACCAGCCCGCTCAGCCGCATGTGGTATTTTCTGGCAAACTTCTGCGCCAGCATCTGAAATCAAACCCAACACTGCATTCTCACCAAGAACAGTGGACAGCGGCAGTGGCGGACCTATGGCGTGCATGCCACAGCGGCTTTTATCATGGCAAGCCCTAAAAGGTTCACCAGCACGGGCTTAGTGTGTGTTATCCTAACTTTGGGTCTCCATTTTTCTCAGAAAAGGTACTTTTTTAAAAAAAATTTTTATTGAGATCTTATACATTTATTTTTTCATGCAGAATTTTGGACCAAATTGTGTGTTTTTTGTTGTTGTTTTGTTTTCGTGGTGCTGGGGAATGAACCCAGAGCCTTGTGCATGCAAGACAAGAACTCTACCACTGAGCCATGTCCCCAGCCCGGTACACCTTTTTTGTTAAGACTTCTTTGAAGTCTCAAAATGAGTAATTAACAAAAGTGATGTACAAATCTGAGGAAGACATCCTAATACAGTCTAACACAGAGCTAGCAGACATGATCACAGATTAAAATATTCATTTTGTCTTTAATGGCAGATATCATTTCATCTCCTAAGACAGTTTCTTTGTATAGACACGCTCCACTATAATTTAGGCTTTTCAGCCTGCATTCAGGAGCTGAGAGATAACTCGTCTGTACAGAAAGTTAATGCTAACAGGAAAAAAAATTATGTGCCTCAAAACCAAGATCTGACTTTCAGTTACACAACACTCAAGTGAAGATGCTTCTGAAGTCGGTGCCGAAATTATCGACTGTCTTCAGGAAGACTGGAAGAGACGCATGTCCCCCAGTGAAATCGCGAGGCCTCTGGCTATTATCTATTGGCCAAATAAGAAGCAGCAGGCAGCAAAGCCATGAGCCAGGTCCCCTGCGAGGCGAGTAACTGGGGGCTCCTCTGTGAGGGGAGCTCTGCTCCTGGGCCACGGTTTCCAGCCCTGCCGTCCTCACCGGTGCGCCGGGCAGCGCGCCACCTTACTGGTCAGACCGGCTGCAGGGCCCTGGAGAACGGCAGGAGAGAGGGGCTAGCGACACGCTCCCCCACACCCCTGCCCTCTGCCAGGGTCATTAGCAACTCTGAACTGATGAACTGCTGAAATCTCAGCCAGGAAACAGTGCAGTTAGAAGAGCAAAAGCTGAAAAGATCATCTCAGTGAGGGATTCAGAATCATGTGTAATACGTCACTTTCATCATAAATGAGCACCCTTCAGCAGGGCCTGAATAGAGCTCCAAGTGTCCTCCTCTGCCTGCTTAAAGACCACACAGAGCCAAGCCACTTCAAATCTAATCTGCGGCTCGGAATGGCCCAAGACAAGAAAAGGAGGCCACTGTAGCCACCTCTGAAAAGCTCAGCTCATAAAACCAGGGAGTAAGGAATACGAATTTTCAGTGGATTCCGGGAAAATTTAGCTGTGCGGGCAGGTGGTCGAATTATTTACACAGACGTAGTGGTGCAGGTGCCGGGCCACGTGGCGAGGACTGCAGCTGTCGCCTTGCTCGGTCTCCCGGTCGTGGGACACAGCGAGCTGCAGACAGCGATGCGGAGTCACGGGCCTCCGCCTAAGGGTGCGCTCCAGCACGCTGTCTCTCAGGTGTGGCAAGGGGCACCTGCTAGTGGATCCTGCTCTTGGTCCACTGTGCCACTGTGCTAGAGAACGGCACGCTCGCTTTGTTATGAGGGATCCCAGTCAGTACTGACAAGGCCAGGGAAACCCCCGACGTCGGAATCCATAAGCAGCCTGAGAAGAGGGCTTTGGAGGTTTTAACACGGGTGTTTCTCCACACTGGGAAACAATTCCCATTCCTGGCACAGGGCGCCCAAGGACATGCCAAGGGGGTGTTTCAGGGCAGTGACGACAGTGCTGGCTATCAAGCTGCTGCCTCGCAGCCAGCTAGACACACTGAGAAAGGCCGCTGTCCGGTGGTGCCCATGGAAGCAGCCTCGTTCAGCCGCACTTGCTGGGGCGGCCACTCTGATTAATAGAAGACAATTCTAATTCCAATTTGAAAGCTTTATGTACTATGCTGAAGTACACTTTTTCTAATATTTATCTCAAGCAAATGCATTAAAAAATCCATTCTTAAGCTTTCTTTAGATGCAAAGAAATTAGGAAGGGAAATGAAATGAAATGAAATGAGATAATTGTGCTTATTTCCTGGATTTCGCTACAGGCCACCTGTCAGGGGCACTTCCGGGAAACCATCTACAGGAGGTCAAGAGCCGGGCCACAGGGGAGCTGCGTGCAACACTCACCCACTCCCTGGAGGTCAGGCCTGACACCACCATGGACACTCTCCTGTGGACCAGCTCCTCTCTGCTCACACCTCCTTCTCTCGAAGCTCCGCTGGCAGGGTTAGAAGTCTGAGCAGCAGCTGGACTGCTGCCATGTGGTGCAACTTGGACCAGGGATAATTTCAATGCTGAGGTTGACGCTGGTGCCCCGCAAGTGGGAGCTGGCCCTGGGCCTCCATCTTCAGGGGCCTCAGGTTCCGGGTTGTCTGAGAAGAGGCCGTTTCCAGATTCTGGGTCAGAGGTGCCCACTGAAGGGAACAGGAAAGGGTTAACAACGATTCTGCAATGACCAGGTGCCATGTCTGCTAAGAATGAAAAAGCAGCAGGGGGTGAGGATGAGAGAAGAAAATGGGTATGCGCTGCGGGCAGAGGTATGGTGGCTGAATTCTTCTATGGACCGTATGGCTTCCTGTGGCAAAAGCTACAACTCGTATTTTTCTTTCAGTCTACAGCTTTGGTTTCAGAAATCAGCCTATGGCTGTGCGTTAGTGTCACATGTCTGTAATCCCAGCACTCCGGAGGCTGAGGCAGGAGGATCACTGTGAGTTTGAAGTCATCCTGGGCTACAGAGCAAGAGCTTGGTGTCAAACAAACAAACAAAAATTATAGTAGGTGAAGGTGTGCTGTTAGATAGATGTTTGATAATTTGATCATATTGGACACAGGTCATTTCTTAAATCACACTGTTGTAAATAATGTTACAGTGAACATATGGTTAAACTGAGCTTATCTCCTCATTTTTAATTTCCGGGAAAGGTAGAACAGACTGAAAATTATGATCCTATTTTTGTTTCACCATTGATGGTGATCACCTACTCTGCCTCATGAACCAGCTGGTGTGAGCACCAAACTAAGAGCAGCAAGGCACTGCGTCCGGAGCACCTAGGGACTCACTGCTCTGCTGCGGGTGAAGCCGCTGAGCACAAGGCACGAGATCCCGGAAACGACCCGGATGAGCATGGCCAAATATAATAAAGCCGAAGAGCGCCTTTTATGATAATGTGATTTTGAGGATTAATTAAAAACTTACTTTCCTGATTAAAAGTTTGATTTACAAGCCATAAAATATACCATTCACCTGAAGTAACTTATACAGTATAAGATACAGTAATTTACAGTCATTCATGAACTGAAGAAAGCTTGCTTTGGATTTGACTCCTTTTTCAACAAAGGACAGGCCTAAAACTTTATTCTAGAGCTTTGAACATGTTTCTTTTTTTTTTTTTGGTCCTTTTGAGACAGAGTTTCGCTATGCAGCTCAGGCTGGCCTTGAGCTTACTTGGTAGCCCAGGCTGGTCTCGAACTTGCAACGATCCTCCTGCCTCAGCCTTCCCAGTGCTGGGATTATAGGTGTGCGCCACCACGCCCGGCTTTGAACATGTTTCTAACCGTTGAGGTTGTCATGGTTGGTGTCTGGGTATCTCCCCAAAGCCATGCAGTCATGGGGCGGCTTCTACAGTTTATGATCGATTCACAGTCCAGTGTTGGAATTATCACTGTGAGTGCTACCCCCGCTCTGGGGCAGAGTTTGCATACAAAGTAGGAGAGGGAAAGAGGCTGCTTGTCACTCTTCCCTTGTGCTCTTGTTATTTTCTGCAGCCATGAACTGTTGCCCTGTGCCATGTGCCTCTTTGCCTTGGAGCCAGCCGAGTATGGACTGAAACCTCCACAGACTGTGAGCTTATTTAAACCTTTCCTCCCTTAATTTTGGGTGCTGGGTGTTCTGTCCCAGCAACAAGAGAGAGGTAAAACAAGACAGAGGTAAAACATTTAGAACACACCAAGACTTTCCAAAAACAGAGAAAGAATAAGAGTAATGATTTTCAAGTAAACTTAAATGAACACTCAAATTTTTGGTACCAGGAATTGAACTCAGGATCTTGCGCTTGCCAGGCACATGCTGTGCTGCTGAGCTCTATGCCCGCCCAAGTTTTTTTTTTTTTTTAAGACGGGGGGTCTCACTATGTAGCACAGACTAGCCTCAAACTTGCAGCAATCCTCTTGCCTCAGCCTCCTGAGTGCTGGTATTACAGGTGTGTGCCACATGCCCGGCAATACTCAAATTTTTAAAAGATGGGCTTGAATATAACGGAAGCACCTACAAGAGATCTGTCCACCTGAAAGCGGATTAGCAGAATAGCTCGTTGGACTCACAGTAAAACCACTTTTCCGTCAGAGTAGAGGGAGTGTTACCTGGTTCCTGGCTTGGCAGATGAGCCGGTGCAGCTGGACGCTGTGGCCCTGACTCCCCCAGTTCCTCCTCTTCCACACTGGCAGCGTCCATCAGCTGCTCCGGAGCTGGGCAGCCTCTGTCCCGAAGGCCCCTGGGCTCGCTGTGTGTGGACCACCTGCCGTCAGCCACGAGGGACTTGGGAGGCGACGCCCTGGAAAGCCGAGGGGAGGGGAAATTGTCACCACCAATGCTGAAAGGCGCGTCCGCAGCCTGCTCCCAAGTGAGGTGCAGGTGGAACAGCTCCCTGTGGGAGAGACGAGTGCCCGCTGCAGAAGCCCACACAGCAGCCTGGGCGCCGCTGCCACCTCCAGGGCAGGGTTCCTCCACCACAGCTCCCCACAGCTGGCAGAGGCGATCTCCGGCTGTCCTGCAGCCTGGCAGCAGCTATTAACTCGATCACCCACTGCCACCCAAATTCCACACACTGTTCTGCCTGAGGCCAAACGGATGCATTGGCGCCAGCCTCTTACGAAGACAGAAAGTTGTTAACGTTGGCGTCTCTGTACTCATTCTCTACCTGACTTGGCAGAATTTATAGAACTGCCCCTCTTCCACATCAGGAAATGACAGCTTAGGCCCGAGGGTGTCGCTCAGTGGGGGAGCGTCGTCTAGAGTGCAGGGGCCGGGGTCGGATCCCAGCACTAGTGGGGAAAAGCCAACTCTTAACTCCTGTTACAAAAACATTTGCGCCCAGCAAGCAGTTCCTTTATCCTTCCAGGCATTTAAGACTTTCCAAAACAAGGTAATTATCAAGGCTGGGGATGGGGCTCAGTGGTAGAAGACTTGCCTAGATGCATAAGGCCCTGGGTTTCAGTCCCACAAATCCTAGATTTGACAGAAAAGAAAAAAAAAAAAGATTATCAATAGGTTTAAAGGGGCTCATAGATTCATGCCCTGAATTAATTACTGGGTTCTTACTATGAGCCAGGTATTATGGGCCGGGGATCTAGCCACAGAGCCTGCCTGGTAAGTGCAAGGTCCTGAGTTCGATTCCCAAGAGCCAGGCATTAAGGTAAGACTGTGGATGGAAGACGAGCATAATCTGAATTGTTGTTCTCAAATTCTCATCGATGTGCAGGTTCCGGGACAGAAATCTCTCTGTGGTGCCTCTGGCAGGAGGAGGAGGACCAGGAACACTTCGTCTGTGTATACTTTTTGTCTTTTTTTTTTTTTTTAACTTTTTGTCTTTTTGAGACAGAGTCTTGCTATGTAGCCCTGGTGGGCCTTGACCTCACCTCACAGCGACCCTCCTGGCTCAGCCTCCTGAGTGCTGGGGTCACAGGCGTGCGCCGCCACGCCCAGCCTGTCTGTGTATTAAAATGGGCAGACTGCTCACTTGGCTAACCCACACCAATGAGGCGCTCAATGACTACAGATGCCAGATCATTTTATTTCTTGTCACAATGACGAAGCTAAAAGGTGAGCCTCAAAAATATATCCTTAGTTCTAAACTCAAAGGGCTTGGAAAAGATGGCGTGGTTAATTATTGATAATCTGTCACCAGTTCCAAAAGATAAACTTGGAGGCTGAGGCAGGAGGATCACTGTAAATTAAAGGCCAGCTGGGCTATAGTGAGTTCAATGCTAGCCCAAACTACATAGTGAGACCCTGTGTCAAGCAAAACAAAACGAAACAAACCCGAAATCAAATCAAACCAAAACTGCTACTGTCTTATATCAATAGCTATTTGACAATTTACACACCCTTGAACGATATTCTGAATACATCCTGGGGTAAATCATCCAACTTTTTCTAGAGGTTAAAAATTTCATACCGCTGGGAAGTCTGTCACAAGCCCCCAGTCCTCTCAGGTCTTAGCTCTATCTCATTCTGCCTTTCAGAAGGACAGCCCTACCCATACATGTCTCATGCTGGGGCTTGTATCTACCTCCAAAGCCCACCGAACAAAGGACATGTCCCACAGCAACTGGAGGTCAGAGACCTCGGTGCTCAAAGCTCTGCAGCAAATAGGGGAGGAAGAAAGTCTCCAGAGCCAGGGGCTGGGGAGTTAGCTCAGCGGCACAGCGCCTGCCTGGCAAGCACAAGGTCATGAGTTCGATTCCCGGTACCGGAAAAAAAAAAAACAAAAAAAAAAACAAAAACAAGAAAGTCTCCAGAGTCAGACATAAGCAAAAATGTCATTTCAACGACCATAACCTGACATTTCTCACCCTGCTGCTCCTGGCTCATGTTCACTGGTGGGACAATCTGGAGACACTTGGTACACGTCGGCAGAGAGGGCTGGGGGACTGTGGCTTCCAGGGTATTCGTTGCTTCCCTCTGCGGTTAATCCTGCTTCAAATGGAATGAGAAAACAAAGACAGCTGCTTTACTTTTTGGTCCTGGTAGCGATCGTGCTGGTGAGGAAACTGACTTTTTTGGTGGTAGCCCTGGGGATCGAACCTAGAGCCTTCATAAGGCCACATACCCAGACCTTTTTATTTTCATATAGGTTCTTGCTAAATCCCTAAGTTGCCTGGGCTGTGCTTCAACTTGTGATCCTTCTGTCTCAGCCTCCTGTGGTGCTGAGATTACAGGCATGCACCACCATGCCTGCCTACGCTGCCAATTTATTTATTTTTGTCTTTTTGAGACAGGGTCTTGCTATGTAGTTCAGGCTGGCCTTGAGCTCACTTGGTAGCTCAGGCTGGTCTCAAACTCCCAACGATCCTCCTGCCTCAGCCTCCCGAGTGCTGGGATTATAGGCATGCACCACTACGCCTGGCAGATACTGATTTTTAAAAGAAGCAATCAACGACTATCAAATTTTGTGTGCAAAAAAAAAAAAAAAAAAAAAAATTTTGTGTGCAGCATGGATACGATTTAAGCAGCAGAAAGAGCTGTGTGCGGCCGGGGATACAGCTCAGCAGCACAAGCGCCTGCCTGGCCAGCGCAAGGTTCTGAGTTTGATCCTTAGTAACAACAAAAAAAACACAAGACCACAAAAGAGCTGTGGTTGTCCCTTGTTGCTTTGTTGCCTTCTGCTTGCTATGGACTATTTCTCCTCTGCCTTGGAGCCAGCTGATTATAGACTGAAACCTCTACAAACTGTGGGATAAATAAACCTTTCCTCCCTTAAATTGTGGGTGTTAAGATATTTTGTCTCAGAAACAGTAAAGTAACCAAGACAGAAACTAATGGTAAAGTACCATCAGGAGAGGAAAAGCACAAAGAGGTTAGGGAAAGTTTTGGCATATTAGAATATTCTTTTTATTTTGTTGACTGATTTATTTTTGCAGTAGTGGGGATTAAACCCAGTTAGGGGGCCAAGGACATAGCTCAGTGGCATAACTGCCTGCCTGGCAAGTGCAAGGTCCTGAGTTTGATTCCTGGTACCAAAAACCGCAAACGAACAAACAAAAAAAACCTCATCAAAACAAACAAACAAACAAACAAAAAACCACCAAAAAAAAAAAAAAAGAGAGAAACAAACAAAAAAAAACCCCAGTGAGGGACTCACGCATGCAGGGAAGTGCATCAGCAGTGAGCCGTGCTCCCAGCCCTCCTCATTTTACTCTGAGACAGGGTCCTGCTGAGTTGCTCAGGCTGGGCTTGAACCCGCCACCCTGCCTCAGACTCAAGTAGCTGAAATTTCAGGCCTGCACTAGCATACCTCTTCTCATGCATTAATTTCTCCAAATATATGTGCTACTGTCTTCTAGGAAGAAGAAATGTTTAAACAGCAAAAACAAATAGCAATTACAAATGTCTTCTGTCCATTACAAAGTCACTGATGGCTGTAATTCACTTTGAGCTTTTATTAGAAAAGCTAAAATCCATAAGCTGAGGAGGAAAATTGAAACAGAAGGTTGTATTAATTAAACTTTTTAAGACAGTGGTTAGCGAAGGGGAAATACTCATCGATTTCCTGAGTTAATCTTCAAATGCACTGTTTACATTTCCTTTATGTTCCTCTTTCCTGGGCTGTGAGTTTCTAGGAACAGGACAGCTCCGCCCCAAGCTATCAGCTTCGACAGTAGGGCTAACCCTGATCCAGGTGTCGCCCTGCTCCGAACACTGAGTGACAACTGACAAAGGGTAACAAGAAGCTTCCAAAGAATTATGCCAGGCATTACTAATCACTAGAGGCTGAAGGAAAAGAGCGAAAACTTCATACACAAGTCCAGCTACTGAAGTCCTTCTGGGGCTGGAGATGGAGCGTGTGCCAAGCCCTGGGTCCAACCCCTAGCACTGTCAACAAAAGAAAATACACAAAGAGCAGGCAAAACCCGAACAAAAACCATCCCCGGAACGCGCAGCACAAGCCAGCTCGAGCGAGGAGTCAGTAACTCAAAAGAACCTAAAACACAGAGCAACACCTTCCCGCTCTTCTTCCCTAACCTCCACTTTGTTCTCTGAGCAGCGAGCCGTCTGTGCCTGCGCCGGGACGACCTGCTTCTCTGGGTCAGGGAGCCGCCACAGGCGCCCAGGGGCCAGGCTCCGGAACAGGACTAACGCGCTCGCTGAGTCCCTCGTGGGCAGGGAGCATGGTCTGAGCCAAAGATGTAGTAAACCTACTGCAAGCACTGTGCAGAGTGTGGGAAGAATCCAGAGTAAAGCACTGGGGAGGAAGGAAAGCGCAGCAGGCAATGATGAACCTGAAACACAGGACCCGGGATGGAATCTGGCTGTGAAAACACATAACCCACCTACCCCAACTTCTTCACAATTCCCAGGAAGGAGGCAGACGTTAACAAGCGCTTCCAGGAGGGAAACCTGCCCCAGGACCGATGGGCTCGGAGCTGTCTGACTAGTCACAGCTGCTCTATTGGCCCTCGGTCTCACAATGCTGGTTCTTGCTCTTGATGACAGGAAATCCAGGAGACGGTGAGACCTGGTGTGAAACAGCTTTACCGTGGAGAGGGACACGTGTACTTTAAGAGTGAGCACACACATTTGCACTGGAGTAGTAAGTGGGCTTGGGAATGACCCTCAGACCAACGGGAAGGGCTATGCTGAGGAGCGAGACATTGCTATGGAAAGGCTGCCATCACGTTTTTCCCTGGACACAGGGCCTTGCTGCCTTGCACTTGTGGTGAACCCAGCCTCCACCTACCGAGCTCTGGAATCACAGGTCTGCACCACCACCTTGGCCCTGTCATCACCTTCAACAATGCTGGATCTTAGCCGCATGTGGCGGTACAGACCCATAATCCCAGCTATTCAAAAGGCTGAGGCAGGAAGATCAAAAATGTGGGTTGCCAGCTTGGGGAACTTAGCCAGATCCTATCTCAAAATAAAAAGGACTGAAATGTCGCTCTGTAATCCAGTATTTGCCTAGCATGTGCAAGGCCACGGGTCCCATCCCTCACACAGGGAGGAGAGAAAGCCCACTCCTAGGTTGAGAAATCACTCATTCCAAGGAGGAAAGACGACAACCTTGAGTTGGAATTAAGTCAATACTCAAAATGTTTCAGAAACGAAGCACAAAGAAACAGTATTGTGAGAAGACACAGACCACACAGATGTGCACAGCCAGACAGCGACAGCTCCTATCTCGTGCTTTAGAATTGAAGCCCAGTCTGTCTTCAGAGCCGCTGGAGAACAGCACTGCACTGGGGATGGACTCGGGGCTTCATATCTGGGGATGAACTAAATGAAGACGTCGTTACAAAGACAGCGTTTAAGAAAATCATCTTGATGCGCTGCCATAGCAACGGCATTCCCAGCTCCTCCTGTGTGAGCCACTGTGTCCTGAAGACAGGAATCATGCAGATGCACTTGGGAATAAGGCCGCTGTGCTCGGTCACGGACAGACTTGAGTTTCTGGAAGATTCCCAAGGCCTCAGCTCCTCCCTGGAGGTCTGACAGGCACGGAGAAGGGGTGCTAACACTGAACTAGTTCAGGCTCTGTGATGGCCCACTTGGGGGCTGCAGGTCCCCCACCTTGCCGCCCTCCTTCCCCCTCAGCACTGGGGATGGAGCCCAGGGCCTTGGCACTGAGCTGCACCCCTAGTCCTTCTGCTGCCCAGCTTGGGTGTAAATTGGTGATCCTGTCTCAGCTTCAGACTGCTGGATTACAGGCATGCATTACCACACAGCTAACCTCTCTTTTATGACTACGTGACTGCTCCTATTTTTCATTTGTTTCTACACAGGGTATTGCCAGGATGACAGGTATGTGCCACCACAACCAGTGTTTTTCCCTTTTAAAAAATTTGCCTATCCTGGGCGTGGTGGTATATACCTGTAATCCCAGCACTGGGGAAGCTGAGACAGGAGTTCGAGGTCAGTCTGGGCTACACAGTGAGTTCAAGGCCAGCCTGAATTTCATAGTGAGACCCTGTCTCAAAAACACAAAAAGAAAAAAAATGTAAAGAAAAAAAAAAAGAAAACTTAACTAATGTTCTATCTCTCAATTTAAAAACTCAAAGTTCAGTCCCTAAAGTAGATTTCTTTCTATAAATCAGAAAACACATTATCCTGATCTGAAAAAAGCACTACCAGTCTGGCTGATGTCTTTTCTTTCACAGCTTTCTAAACTGATGAGGTTAGTGGCTGCCAGCGGCCCCCACGACCACAGCTTCTCAGACTGAGAAGTGCATGGCGGCCTGGGGGCGGGGCCTGGCATCTCCGCCTTGGAGGTGCTGTCAGATGATGACACTGATGGTCAGCCCAGGTCCCTCTGAATGGTACATTTGTCCTGAGCAGGGATTAGAACTGAGGCTCCCGAATGCCCGTGTAGTGCTTGGTAAATACAGCTGTGCACAGATCAGGGAGCGCTGGGATCAGGTAGTCACACCGCAGAAGGCAGTAAGGGCCAGAGCAGAAGGGTTTTGCTTAGGGTCCCAGCACATGGCCCACAGCACAGACCTTTTGCTGCTATGTGGCATCCCGGGGTCGGCAGCTCCTCAAGAGGGCAAGAGTCCAGCACGATGGAGGCAGAGGTGCCGGAGTGTGGGCTTCCATGCCGCTCCAACACGGCTTCCAGGTGGGCCATTTCCTGCTGCAGCTTGAGCAGGTTGTCCTGGATGGTGTCCCTCTGCTGCGAAACGAGTCACACTGTGACAAATGTGCCCCGAAATGGGAATCACCACATACAGAATCTTGAGTTCCTGCTGTCCACCCTTCATACCCGAGCAAGTCACCACCCCTGAAATGATTTCCAAATGAGGGTAGGGGGAAACAGCTTCCAGTCCTCCTACAGACTAGCTTTATGGTGATGGTCTTTGCATTGGTTTATTTTCTTTTAAGGCTAGGAAGTTGGGCTGGAGGTACAGCTCAAGGGCAGAGCACTCACCCAGTGTGTGTGAGGCTCTGGGTTGAGGTCCTGGGTTTGATCTCCAGTAAGGGAAACGAAGGTGAAAACAAATAAACAACCCACCACACCCAGCTACTGATATTTCAAATTAGCACAAACCTGTTAACATTTTATACAGGCTGTTTCAAATACCTGGCACTGTGAGATTCATGAGCCATTCAGGTTACTCCTTACAAAATTAGGTGTTTAGGAGCCAGATACGGTGGCATACACCTAGAACTCCTCCTCAGGAGGCTGAGGCAGGAAGGTCACAAGTTTGAAGCCAGTGTGGGCAACAAAGCAAAGCCCTGGTTCAACATGGAAAGGGCCAAAGTGCAGCTCAGTGGCATAAAGTGCTGCCAAGCACGGTGGAGGCCCTTGCGTCTAATCCCTAGCACCGCAAAACAACCAAAACAACCTTTAAACTGGTAAAATGGTGACACTTTCTGTGGCAATTTAGAAAAACGCTCTTGGTCATCTTGCCTAGATTGGTAACCCTGCCTCGTAAGGTAGAAAAAGCAAAAGGCACATTCATCTGCCCACTCAGTGTGCCCCACAAGCATTTACTGCGCTGGCGCCTTGCCAGCACCGGCGACACAACCCTGACAGAGCCATTCAAGAAGGGATGGCACCGTGCCCATCTGCGAAGGAGCCGCTGGAGAGGAGTTTCCTCAGAGCCCCCGAAAGCCTGAGGAACAGGTGCTACCTTTGGCTCAAGGCCACACGCCCTCCTGCTTCTGGACCTCCTGCTGCTTACTGCTCCACTTCAGGATACGTACATCTAGACAAGTGTGGCGGGTGTGGTGTGGATGCCTGTCACCCCTGCACCCGAGAGGCTGATACAGGAGGATCGCTGCTTGTACCAGGCCAGGTGTAGGCTACATAATGAGTTTAAGACCTCTAAGCTGGACGTGGTAGTGCACACCTATAATCTCAGCACTCAGGAGGGGACTGTTGCGAGTTCAAGACCAGCCTGGGCTACAAAGTGGTAGCCAAAGAGCTCAGCCTGAACTGCATAGTGAGATCCTGTCTCAAAAAAAAAAAAAAAAAAAAAAAAAAAAAAAAAAACACTGCTACGGAAGTGCTACATCTAAAGTAGTTGATAAACAGGGCGTGGTGGCGCACGCCTGTAATTCCAGCACTTGGGAGGCTGAGGCAGAAGGATCCTTTTGAGTTCGAGACCACCCTGGGCTACAAAGTGAGCTCATGGTCAGGCTGAACTGCATAGCGAGACCCTGTCTCAAAACGGCAAAAATAAGTAAATAAATAAGTAAGTAAGTAAATAAAATCAAGTAGTTGATAAAGAAGTCAGGATACAGGAGTTTTCCAGGTGTGTTTTTCCTCATCCCTAGAACATTGCCGGGCAAGCTGGGAGGGGAAGTGCAAACACAAACTCTTTTCACTGTTTCTTTACTCTACTGATCCTGGCAGTGACTTTCCCTCAAGTGATAACAACCCGCTTCCTCCCTCCGGGCGTGCGGATTGACAGTTTGCAGGAGGATGTGATGACTAGAAAATGTCCCTTTGGTCCCACAAAGGTCTGCACAACTGCCCTGGGCGGGCTCTGCTGCCACCACGTGGTGCTCGGGAGCAATGACACTGTGGAGCAGACTGGCCTGGGGTGACACCGACCAGACTCTGGCTGCAGGAGCTGAATCAGCGGAACAAACAGCAATGCCACCGGAGGAGCTGGAGAACCTGCGTAGCCTGAAGGAATTACTTTAAAACTTAGAGAAAATCCCCTACAGGCAATGACTCACCCAACATACCAGGGAGAGCAAACCACACACACCATCCAGTCATCCCGTTCCTGACACCGAAGGCATAGCGCCCGAGTGAGCGCGCCTCCGGCGAACACTCTCCACGCAGTCACGTTACTGCCCAGCTTCCCTTCCTCAGCCGACTCAGAGGAGCTAGTGCTTCCTGACGCTGTGTCACTGAGCTGGTCCTGCCAAAGTCCAGACCCTCAGCACAGCGCTGGAGAGGAAGGCCCTTCACACCCCCACCTGGCCACGTTTGTCCCCGCACTCCCTTGTGGTGTCACAGGCCCGCTTCACGTTCCCTGTGCTCTCCGCGCCTCCCACCTTCATCTCAGCGGCTGCCTCCTCCGTTCCCCAAGGGAAAGTCCTTATCTTTCAGGCCCCCTGCTCGAACGCCTCCTTTGGAAGCCCCCCCCAGGAGCAGGGCGTCCCACGACCCGTGGGTTGTGCTGCTAACGCATTAGTTCACCCAGGTGAACACAGGGTGCCCACCCCTGGGTGGTGTTCGCCTTCCCAGACAGTAAGCACTCGGCAAGCAATTCACGCAGGAACCGGTGAACGGACGGACAGACTTCACCAGTCTCCAGGAGAGAGCCGGGCACTACTGCCGCTGAGTCAGGCCTGCTCTACCTCCGGGGCCCTCCTCAGTTCTCTACCAACAAGCCCAGGGAGAGACCCACTTCGACCACTGGGTCTGTCTGTGTGAACTCAGACAGCCCCAAATGGGATGTAAGCTGTTTTTGATAGATGCTTGATGAAAACATTTTGCAAAATGCATCCTGAACAAATAGGCATATCCCTGGGAATAAGATCAGGGAAACAAAAACAGTGGTTACTGAATGTCAAATGTAACACAGTATGGCTAAGGCAGATGGGATAAAAAACTGGAAGTAAAACCCTTTAAACACAGGGACAGGATCAGGGGACAGGCATATTGACACAGCCCCAAGTCCACATCCAAAAAGGATCAGAGCAATTGCAAGAACAGAAACGCCCCCATTGAGTCACCATGGCGATGGGTCCTGCAGTGGAGGACAGAGGACCACACGACTGTAGGCCTCGACTCACGGAAGCCATGCCCCCTTGACTGGTGGTGGGCGTAGGCGGGGCCCACCAATGTCCAGGCCGGGGAGACTGTAAAAGCGGACACCACCCAGAGCTCACAAAGGAACAGGAAAGGTGTAGCTATCACACACTGTGGGGGCTCAAGGTGGATGAACTTGCTCAACGCTTCTAAAAAAAATCTGGTAACTGTATGAAAGACAAAAAATCCAACACTAGGAATGTATACCAAGGAAATCATTAGGGATGGGGTAAATATTTAGCTACCAGGGTAGCAAGTACAGTGCTGTACACAGTGCAAACTACCTCTTACCCTGAAAGCCTCATCGTCCAGTACTAGGTGAAATGAGTCATGGTCTACCCAGAGGACGGGGTGCTACAGGGATTAGGGCCACTGTACAACTTCAACGGCATGCTAAGAGCTAGATTATAATAGAAGCATTTAGAAAACTGACATCTGAATGTCTTTTGAAGGAATGGTTTCTGGCTGAGGTGTAGGCTCAGGGGAGGAGCATGAGGGCCTAGATTCAAACTAACTACTATAAGAGGCTCTGGATTCTGTCTCTAGTACAAGGAAGGAAGGAAGGAAGGAAGGAAGGAAGGAAGGAAGGAATTCCAACACAGGCTCTGGATTCTGTCTCTAGTACAAGGAAGGAAGGAAGGAAGGAAGGGAGGGAGGGAGGAAGGAAGGAAGAAAGGAAGGAAGGAAGGAAGGGAGGAAGGAAAGAAGAAAGGAAGGAAGGAAAAAAGAAAGGAAGGAAGGAAGGAAGGAAGGGAAAGAAGTAATTAGGTATGGTATACATAGATACCTGTATGTATGCATGCACAAGAAGAAGACTGGAACAATATATCAGTAAGTTAATATAAAGCCATGTGTGGGGGCACTCGCCTATCATCCTAGCATGTAGGGGGCTGAAATAGATTTGCTGAGAGCTCAAAGCCAGCCTGGGCTACAGTGTCAGTTCAAGACCAGCCTGAACTACACAGCAAAATCCTGTCTCAAGAAAACAAAGAGGGACTGGGGATTTAGCTCAGTGGCACAGTGCCTGCCTGGCAAGCGCGAGGTCGTGAGTTCGATCCCCGGTACCGGAAAACAAAACAAAACAACAAAACAAAAAAAGAAAACAAAGAAAAAAATATTAATATAAGCACCTGTGGATAGGTTGTAAAATTTAACTAATTTCTCATCTTAACCATTTAAGCACACAGTTCAGTGATACTAAGTACTGCTATCTTGTGTAACCACCACCGCTGCTCTCTCATTCTCACTGGGGATCCAACCCATGCTAGACGAGTGCGGTGCCAATGAGACACCCAGCCTTACTCTCCACTTTAGTGTCAGACAGGGGCTTGCTAAGCCGCCCAGGCTGGACTCAAACTTGTGACCCTCCTGCCTCAGCTGAGTGGCTGGGACTCAGGTGGGCACCGTGCTCAGCCTTCTCCAGAACCTTTCATCACCCATCCACCAAGTGGTGACTCCACTCTCCCCTCCCAAAGCCTGGGTAAGCACTATTCCTCTTCATTTCCCTGAATCTGACTATTCTAGGCACCTCACAGAAGTGGGATTCTAGTCTGTCCTCTAATGTACAGCTTATTTCAGTTAACACGTTCTTAAGCTTCTTCCACGGATGATTCTTTCTTTTCTCTCTCTTTTGTCTTTTTGAGATAGGGTCTTGCTGTGCAGTTCGGGTTGGCCTTGAGCTCACTTTGTAGCCCAGGCTGGCCTTGAACTCTCAGTGATCCTCCTGCCAAAGCCTCCTGAGCGCTGGGATTACAGGTGTGTGCCACCATGCCTGGCTTTTTTGTTTTTTTTTCAGACAGGGTCTCATTAGGTAGTTTAGGTTCGGCTAGAACTCACAGTGACTCTCATGCCTCAGCCTCCTGAGTGCTAGGGTGACAGGCGTATGCCATGACGCCCAGCCCATGGGTGATTCTTGTTCATCTGTGTTTTCCTTGTTTTCTACGATGCACACATGTGACTTCACAGTTCATTATGCAGGACTTCAGGAAGTTCAAGAGACATTTGTCCTTACGAGTGAAGTAAGAAAAAGGGCCACAGTGGGACGGCCCACAGGGGTCCAGCCAGCTCCATTCCACAACGCACCTGTTATAACAGGCAAGCCACCAAAGGCCACATGGCCACGTACAGAATGCTGACCACACCACTGCGGCAAGTGCTGTGTATTCGTCCTTACAGGGCCTTGTGCTAGGAATGCAGAGGTAACTGTGAGAAGCTGTCAACCAGTGGGACAAACACATGAAAATACAAGCTGAGAGGAGCCCAAATTTCTGAATACAAGAACTTGGAAAATGTATTTGCCAAGGGAGACAGAGATAGATTGTATGAAGAAGGTAAAGGCTTTTCTCAGTGCTGGGGAGTACACCTAGGACCTCATCATACTAAAGCAAGGGCTCAGCCACTGACCTACATCACTGCCCTGTAATCTGTACATGTTGCAGCTGGGGGTGCAGCTCAGTGCGAAAGCATGTGGCCAGCATGCGTGAGGCCTAAGGTCCACCCACACCCCTTCCCCAAGAAGTTATGACAGTGCCTGTCTCAGAAGCTTCCTCTGTCTTGACTACAGAAATGCCCATGAGAGCTAACACTGCAGATATGATGAAACTATTATCTCCTTCAAAAGTAAATCAATTAGTGGCCTTTACTATGTCCAGTAAGTCAAGTTACATACTTTCTTTATTTAAAGGACATCTGGGCACTAACAAAGCAACTAGTAGGCTATAAGAGACAAAAACAAAGAAAATACCCACAGAACAGTGAAAGGCTGCTATTCCCTAATAGGAAGAAGCCTATGGAAGCTCGTGTGGTACCAAGAATAACACTGTTTCTTCTTTTTGTACAGCTGGGGGTCAAACTCAAGGCCTAGCACACTCAAGGCAAGTGCTGTACCACTGAGCTACGGCCCTCCTGTTCTACGTTATTTTATTGTATTCTGAGACAGCGTCTTGCTAAAGTGCCCAGGCTGGCCTTAGGTTTGTGATCCTCCTGCTTCAGCCTCCTCCACTGCTGGGATTACAGGTGTGCACCATTGCACAGCACCCATCCTGCACCCTTCCTTGACACGATGACACTTTCATCTACTTTTGCTACCAGGCAAGTAGGTGTGCAGGGCTTCCTTGTTGAGCTCACTACTGCTCACCTTGCACCGACCTTGGTGATGTTTACACGTGGGTGATACAAAGGGCAGTGAGGTGCTTAAACCCAACCTGAGAAATGGTGGCACATGTATCATGCCACCAACTCAAAAGAAGACATCGGCAGATGTAAGAATGTCACATGCATGCCACCAGGGACGCAACACACACACACACACACACACACACACACTTGTACCTGGGTGGTCAGGATGCTGCTCTGTGAGGACAGTCCCGAGCAGCCGTCAGAGCAGTTTGCTTCACTCTCAGAGCCAGACGCTGCTTCATCTGAAACAGCAACAGAAAGAGGTGCCGGTATAGATGCAGCTGGTGAACACAACAACCTGGCAGCCCTGGTTTCATTTCACAAAATGATCAAATTTCTTGCTTTGGGACACTGGGATTTCCCCTTAGGAACCCCGACACTAAAAACCAGAGGCAAGTCCACAGAGAGCTAAAACATTAAATCCACTCAATCGGAGATGGTGTTCCAGCTTGCTGATGGGCTTCTGACGTGTCGGGAAAAGAACCTCGGGAGGAAGTTTAAGTAGCAGCGAAAGCATGTAACCAGTGCTCCCATTGGGCATAAGCGACTAGCTCGTTTCTTAACAGACAGGGGCAAGCACACAAGCCCGGCTCCAATACCTAAGTGTGGCCGCGCACTCTGCCCCGTGTGATGACTGTCTTCTTCAAGGTCAGCTTCCCTGTCTCCACCACCTGAGACTGAGTCCTTGTCGCTCAGGACCACCTGCTGGCTCCCAGAGGGACACTCCCTTTGCTCAGCACGAGGGTGCAGCACCAGGAAGGGATCCTGGGAGTTTGTGTTTGCAGCGGAGTCTTCTGGGGCGCTGCACTGGGAGGAAAACAAGCTGCCCGAACATCTGATGTCTTCGCCCTGCTGAGGTTCTGGGGACACCTTCGCCAACGCCGGCTCGTGAGTGCAGTCACGTGAGCCATTTTTCAGTGACACCAAGCTCCCCTCTGTTCCCTTGGGCACATGCTCTGTTGCAACGGTGCTGGGCCTGGTTGACTGAGGCGTCTCGGTTCCTTTACCAAATATTAAATGTTGGAAGCAGGGAAGTTCTTCGTCCTCACTGGACATGTGCTCTTCAGAAGACTCTAACTTTCTCACCCTTCTTTGGCGACTCCGGGAGAAAGCTGTATGGGTTACAGGGCTGGGGCTCCTGCTCAATTGTCTTCTAGGGGCACCTTTGCTAAAAACAGCAGAAGTCTCCTTAATGTCACCTTCAGCAAGGCTGGTATCTTCCTTGCTGTCCTCATCACCCAACAGGCCATCGGGTGTCTCAGAACAAATCTGAGAAGCAGGACTCCCTCCCACAGGCTGTTCCTTGCTGTCTACAATTCGACAGGGAGAGAAATCTGCGCAGACAGCCCGACCTGCAACTCCACTTTCCCCTCGCCTTTGTACTTCCGGAGGTTTGCAGTTACCCACAGGAAGGCTTTGCTTAGAGGCTTCAGGCTGCATCAGCCCTAACCTGAGCACAGCGTCTAGTTCTGGCCCTCTGTTTCTACCTAGTTGTGCTTGAATGTTCTCACTGCTGGGGCCCACTTCATCAGTGCTGGAGCCCACTCCGTTCCCGCTGCCTGAGCTGGCTTCCTGAGCAGCGCACGCTCGGCTGAGACTGTGGCCACCCGTGCTTTGAAGGATGCTCTCACTTCCTACCGCTTCCTCCAGTGATGTGGAACAGGTTTTCTTACATGTACTTCTAACCAACGACCTGACAGGAGAAATTGACGGCATGAGATACAGGTTTCGTAAAATTCCATGTTTGTCAGCCGTGATGTGTTCGGCTTCGTTGCCCCCGACCTGTGATGGATGGAGCCTTGAGAGTTCGGTGACACTACATTTGACACCGGCACCCGGCTGATCATTCTGAGAGAGCACAGGGGCGCCCGTGGTGCTAGCGACTGCCTGTACATGTCTAACCTTAGGCTCTTCCTCGCCCTGACTTTCCCATGGTTGTTCATATTCAGGAGTGACTTCTGGGCTTTGTTTTTCAAAGGACTCAAAGTAGGCACAGACTGTTGTATACCCCTTTTCTGTGTTTCCTGGATTTGAAAACAGAGCAAACGACTGACGCTTTGAAGACTGGAATGTATTCTGTAAATACTGAGTATCCAGTTCACTATCTTCCATCTCTGTGTTTGCCCCCTGGGTGCAGCTCACTTCGCGTCCCAATGGCTCCTTAAAACCTTCTGCGCAGTCTCCAGTATCTTTAGAAGCAGGCAGAAGCTTCTCGGGCTTTGTGACTGCCACGTACTGAGCCACACACTGATGTGCCACCCTCCGTGCCCTCCTGCAGCTGTCGGCCACCAGTAAGGAGACACTGTCCTGAGTGCTACAATCAGTGTCAGGGACCAATGAGACGCTGGTGCTCTCTGCAGACCTCTCGGTTTGCACACACTTTTCTCCACTTAATACTGGATCTTTGGGGTCTCTGGTACTTCCGGACCCTTGAAGTGTTTCTGGGTTCTCTTCTATCTCTTCTTTCTGTGGGCTTGGGTGGACAAATTCTGTAAGTTTATCAGGGCTGGAACTGTTAGTAACCGAGCTGGGCACGGGTGCCAACCTCGGTTCCGGGATGGCCTCCCCTGCACGGCTCCTCTTCCTTCCTTGTTCGCCTGGCTTTTCTTCCTTGGTTCCAGCGGAAGCTTCTAGGTCCCCCGTGAAGGGCAGCTTCCTGCCATGCCTGACCGGCACCTGCTGGGAATTTTTTCCCTTTATTTCTTCACTGCTAGTAGAATTGGTGTGATCTGGTGGGCTTGGCTGAGGCACATGCCTGGCTGAGGACTTCCTCCTCAGCCTGTTGTCCCGAGGTGCTTCTGAAAGGCGGACTTTTAATTCCAGTCCCACGTTGCTCACGCTGCTGCTCTGGGGCTCCGCTCTTGTTCGGGAAGCAGACTCTTTTTCCAGTGATTGCACTGGGCTGGGGCTCTTCTGTCTCTGAACATCACCCCCTTTTGTCTCATTCTCATGACCATTATTAGGAATATGCGTCACTTGCCTACTCTTTTCTGTTTGCTTCGTTCCCTGATTTATCTTTCCAGGAGTGTTTTCAGCAACTGCCAAGCCTGCATTCTTGATAAAATCCTCAGGATGAAGGCATGACGTGGTTCTCCTCTTATGCTTTAATGTACTTGTGAGGGGACGCTTTTGTGTCAGTGGTGGTTCAGCGGCAAGGGCGCGAACCGTTCGATTTTCAGCTGTGTGGCTTAAGCTGGGGAGGCTCGCCTTCCTCCCGTAGGTTCTCCCGAATACTTTATCTTCCATGCCACCCCTCACTGCTCTGGGGCAGCCTCTCTCACTGGCACAGGTTGCCACACTCAGAGGATCACTGGCCAACAGGTCTATTTTCACTGAAGAGCCAGAAGGGTCATCTAGGTCTTTTGGATCTTCTAACGCACCAGCTTCTTCAGCATCTGGTTCTGACTCCCTGTCACAGGCATCGTCAAAAGTCACCATTTCGTCACTTCTGGAAAACCACTCATTAACTTTCTGAATGCTGCTATTTAGTGTGATCCAAGGAACATCCTGGGTCTCTCTGAGGTCCTCTGAGCACGGAGGTTTCTGCTTTTTCTGTTCCTCCCTCTCATGGAGGGGCTCAGCGATCCGCTCTGCCTCCTGCTCTGTTCTGGGAGTCTGCCTGTTGGCACAGCTCCCCTTGCTCTTGGCCCATCTGCTCTGCTGGCTCCTTCTGGGCCCAGGCTGCTTGCTTTTATTACGGAATTCAGCCTTTTCTACATCCATTCTGTCTTCTGTGAGTAATAAACGGCTGTTTGCACGCTGTAATGAGCTGGCGCGAGTCTTGGTGCCACATGGCTCTACACGCAAGTCTGAAACAGAGCCGCCCTGATGCCTTTCTGGCTGCCTCTTGGCGGCACGCTCCTTGACAGCGTTCTCAACTTTCCTGCTGGGCTGCGGACAGTTGGTGTCTGTGATGCCCTTCTCAGAAACCTCACAAGTAGCTGAAAATATAGAAAAATAATGAGATGCTTAAACATGGAACTATGAAAAAATACTACAACTTGGGAGTGGAAATCAAGCAACTAGCTTTTTAAGAAAAACTACCTTCACAAACCACCAGCTACATTTTATTTTTTTTTTTGGAGACAGGCTCTCATTATACAGTTTAGGCTGGCCTTCAGCTCGAGGCAGTCCTCCTGCCTCAGCCTCCCAAGTGCTGGGTTTACAGGCAGGTACCATCACACTCAGCCTGCATTTTAAGGATGTAGCTCACATTCTTTCATATAATTCCAGTTACACAGATTTCATTATTTCCAATCAAGATAATGAAAAAGTAAATTTCACAGTTTTCCCTATGCACAAGCCATACCCCTCACTCCCCTAATCTCCAAGAGGGAATCAAAGCACAGTGTTTGGTCCTCAGACACAGCACCACATTCTGCCCACACACTCACTGCCCGTGTTAAAAAAACACCAGGTGGGAAAAGATGAAACACAAACACAGCAGCAAACAATGAAGGACGTGGGAAATGGTGGCACATGCCTGTCATTCCAGCACTCGGGAGGCTGAAGCAGGAGGATCGTCTTGAGTTCAAGACCAGCCTGAACTGCATAGTGAGACCTTCTCAAAACTGAGATTAAAAAAAAAGGGCAGCAACCAGTTGCATGAGGTATTATATTCACACTCATCTTCTTCTATGGAAATCTAAGGCTGTCCATGACACCCTGCAAAAGAACCACATTCTAACTCTTAAGAGATCTCGTGAATCAGAACTGTCCTAGCACTCTCCAGAATAGTCTAACCCTAGCACTGTACCTACCCTTCCATTTCCTCAGAGCCCATTATGTTGGGAAGACTCACCATTACTTTGCTTTGTAGAATCTGAACTGGCTTCAGCCTTGGTTCCTTGCGGGGTGAATAATAACAATTCTCGGTCTCTCATACTGTAGAGAAAGGACAGAAGACGTGGTGGGAACACGAGTTACGTGCTTACAGATAGACAGGTCAAATGTAAGCTCTTCTAGCTGGAGTCATAGTAGCTGACCAATACATAATGCCCAAATTCACCTGCTCTCTTCTAAGTAACTTCTAGCCAAAATGGGAACACATGGCCACAGAAACCAGAGCAGGGATGTAGAGCATTACTTTATGGACGTGCAGATGAGAGCCAGGCTGAAATGACTGCAAAAGCAAGTGAAGAACGCGCACACACACATCTTCACGAGATGGCAGGGGCAAAGAGAGCACGACAGGGGAGCAGGCTTCCCCGTGGGCTGCAAAGAATGCAGCTTTGCTGCACTATTGTCTGTGTTCTTCTCATCAGGCTAGAAGCTACTTCCTTTTGTTTCTGGAGAATCTTGTGTGTAGTTCAAGCTGGCCTTGAGCTTGCTATGGAGCTCAGGCAAGCTTCAAACTCATAATCCTCAGCCTCTTGAGTGTTGGGATTACAGGTTTGCGCCACCACAAACGTAGGTAGGTACAGTACTAGGATTAGACTATTCTTGTGTCCATTACAGGTTTGCTCAGGTACAGAACAAGGGGATGAAACCATATGATCTCTAAAATTTCTTCTAATACTGATTCTAATCTAGGAAAAAACTGACCCTTAATATTACTGAAGTATGAAAACACCAGCCCCACTGACGAAGGCACCTTTATTCCTCACCTGCAGTAATACGCCTTGTTAACTGTGTCTTCAGAGGAATCCGACCCTGAAAGAATTGCCCCCACAAAACAGATCCATGAACAATTTTTTCATTGAGAGGACTGAGCTAAAAATAGGTTCCTGCTGCAAAACAGATACTCGCTTGTCTAGAAGTATTTACTCGGGCCCTGCTATTTGTCCCTCAGGGGACCCAGAGAGGGGAGGGACGCACAGGCTCTGACGCCAGCTACCCAGGTGTGAGCCCAGGGCTCCTCCACTCTCTAACCAACCTGGCCAAACGTCCACACCTCCCTGAACTTCAGTGCCATCCAGGAAGCATTAGGGTGGTACGTGGGACCTCCGCAGGGTCACCCTTCCCAACGCTGAGACAAGGCATTACCGAAATATGTCTGAACACTGAGCTCACCTCAGAAGCTCAGCTCTTCCCAACTGAGTGCAGCTTATCTCAACTCCCTCTAAATGGGGCTTTCTCGTTACTTCTCGATTTCCCAAAATTCATTTTCCCTACACTTACAACCACACATCCTTTCTTTTGCTCCCTTTACAAAGTAAGGTTCTCCAAGGTGGAAACTGCATCTTTTACATTATTTATAATTCACCACAGATCCCATAAAATTATTTTGTTTTTATTCCCTAAAACTCCCTGCCCGATGTATAAAGACGACCAAAGTTTTCAGCAAAGCTGCAAGACACTGCGGACTTACGGAATCCGTGGCCCTTACCCAATTCAATGTAGACAGATTTATTTTGAGGCTGCGTCTGCTGCCTGGTCCTCAGAGACCCCATGATTCCAAGGTCAGACAGCTGGATCCCAAGACTGGTTTCCTGCTAAGCAGTAAAGAATGGTTACCCATTGGTGGCGAGTTCTGTGCTTTGTTCCTGAAGAGAAGATCTAGGCCACAGGCAAAACTATCAGTCAACAATTTAGGACTACTGGGAAAACGCCTGGCAAAGCACACCCTCAAATGTCTAGGCTACACATGGCTTCAGTAACTTTTCCCTGTATTATTTTTAAAAATTTCAAATTATGTACTATGTATAATTTTAAGTATTAAAATATAATATTGTAAAGTGGCACTTAAATATATTTCTAATCACACCTAAAAGGAGTGGCAGCTAAGATAAAATAAATACTAAAAAAGGATAAACGAACTGGGCATCATGGTGCACAACTGTAATCTCAGCAGCCCAAAGGCTGGAGTAGGAGAATTTCAAGTTTGAGGCCAGCCCAGACAGCATGAGACACGGTCTCCCCCGCCCACCCCTCCCACACACACACAAAGGGGAGTATAGCGTGGTGGCGCATGACTGCAACCCCAGCACTCGAGATGCTGAGGCAGGAGGATCACTGAGAGGTTGAAGCCAGCCTGGGCTACATAGGGAGCTCAAAATCAGCCTAGGGAAAAAAAAAAAAAAAAAAA